AGAGTGGTAGAGTTCGGGCTTTTGGTGCACTCATCACCTAAGTTATAAAGTATTTTTAAAAGAAAATAATGAGAAGAAAAAATATGTACTAATGAAATTCTGGTACAAAAATAAAGTATATTAGGGTGCAAAGCTATTTCATTTGTTCAAATAACAACAGTACATGGCATTGTATCTCTATGACAGACCACTATGAGAAGAGGCATATTCACAAAGAAATGTAGTACAGCCATTCTCTGAGAATGGGGGCCAGGGTGGGGTAAAACTATTGTCCTTTAATTTAATAAATTATATTTTTATAGTCACCTGAAATACTGCGTGGAAAGCATGACAGTGGTATTAATGTAGACCATGCAATAAGAGCGACAGAAAGAAACTCACTCCACCAAGGCCACATCCGTTGTTGATTATCATTACCGTTTTCAGTGCTTTAATAGAGAAAAAATAAAAAATGTCAACTTTGGGTATCTTATTAAAACAAAGCCATAATCAAACAGAGGGAGAGGGAGGGAGGAAGGGGGAGAGAGAGAAATGGAACATTTTCTGCTAATTTGTCATTATTGTTTGTTTTGTTCAGAGGGAGTGGTTGTCAATGCTCTAATTATGTGTTTTTCTTTTGTCTTACAAGATCTTAATGTTTCCCTTTTCCTTCTCTTCCCTGGCATCACTCAGATTACAAACGGTGCTTGTTTGGTGCCTATTTTTCCATTCTTGTGATACCTCACTTTCGGAGGATGGGCTCAAGCTCTATCCAGGACAATATAAGAGGTGCTAGATCACCATCGTTTTTTATAATTGAGTAGTATTCTATTGTATACATATACCATGTTTTATTAATCCACTCATGAATTGACGGGCACTTGGGTTGTTTCCACATCCTTGCTATAGTGAATTGTGCTGCCATAAACATTCAAGTGCAGATGTCTTTATTATAGAATCCCTTTTGTTTCTTTGGGTAGATGCCTAATAGTGGTATTGCTGGATCAAATGGTAGTTCTACTTTAAAAAAAAAAAAAGGTGCTTGTTTGTTCCTATTTAACATTTTTCTCCATCAGAGGCTACGAATTTGGAAGACTATCTCTTTAAATCTTACCTCTTCTTTAAAATCATCCCTGCCCCACTTTACAAAAGCACCTTGACCTTTATGGCAAGCCTGCCCCTTTCAGTTGCACAGACCTTTAAATCATATTTACTTTGAAATGCCTTTCTTCTAGTCCCTTCTCTGAACTCCCAGATTTAATGTAAATTTATCCTTTGAGTGATCATTCCAAATCACCCTGAGGACCCTTTGTTAGCCTGTCTGTCTTGTCTTCTCTCCCTGCAGTTTTTCTTGATTTGCCTTTGCTCACCACAAAGCCTTATAGTGGACAGGGTGTGATGGGAATGCGAAGGATGCTATGCTGGGATTAGTTAATTTTCCCTGTTTGGGCTCACAGTTATTTTGCAGTTTGAGCATTTTTTGTCCTTAATTAACTCTGATTTTGTGGAGAATTTTCATAGTTGTGAAATTATTTGTGTCATTTAGGGAGGAGATTAGAGAAAGTTGATAACTACACAGTTGCCATTGTCTTCATCTCCACACACATTTAAGACCTTCTCCAATGAGCCATTGTGGGAAAATACCCACATGCTCAGGAACCACAGTTTTGGAGGTGCTGGTTTTTCAGGAGTGATTCTATTGCCAAGCAAGTCCAGGTGAGTAGTTTGCTTACAGGCCTGTCTTTCATGGAATATAGAGAATGTTCCCAGTCTTATTCACTGATGGGACAGCTCTTTATCCACTGCTAGCATTATTCAGGGATACAAATTCCAAATTGCATAATGTTGCAATCTTGATTTCCATTATCCACTTCCATATCCATAATCATATATATATGAATGTGCTATACTCAGGGAGTTTCAACTTCAGATTGTCACTAGGGCTACATACAAGTATTTCCTCATTTATTACAATATTCGTATACTTTATTTTTTTCATTTTTGAACCCAGCTATGTAATCTGACTTTGAATGTTATATTACATATAATATTATTATTTCATATGTATATATAATTATATACCTAGAAGAGCTAAAAAATCAACTAAAAAACTATAAAATGTAAGCAAAAACTTTGATACGGTGACTTACATATACAAGACAAATTTAGAAATCAAAATATTTCCCTCCAGTAGAAATAATTTATTGGGAAATGTAATAATATAAAGATTCCATGCACAATATCAACAAAATGTACGAAATGCCTAGGAGTAGGCTTTATGGGATATGTTCAATAAAGAATATCATAAAACTTTATTAAAGGGCATGAAAGAAGAGCAGAGAAAATAAATAAAACAACATCATATTCTTGAATGAAAAGATAACAGTTATTCTCAATTTGGTCCATAAATTTAAGTAATTCACATAAAAATGCTTTTTTGTAATCTGAGATCATAAAATTTATCTGGAAAAGTAATTTTGCAAAAATAGCCCCTGATGTTTGATAAAGAACAATAATGAATGGGTACTTACCCAACAAAATAACAAATCACACAATAAAGCTTTAGTAATTAAAACATTGTAGTATTGGCATGAAAATAGAAAAATATATCAGGGAACAGATTAGAGACACCAGAAGATAATCTATGGATTCAGACAAATTTAATTTATGTTAAAGATGGTGTTAAATATCAGTAAAAAAAAAAAAAAAATCACCGAATGATCCATAAATGTCATCAGTGTAGTTAGATATCCCTTTGAGGGAAAAG